GCACCGCCCTCGTCCTCGGCCAGGAACTTCTTGGCCGAGGCCAGGGTCTGGTGCACGACGCGCTGCAGGGTGGGCCAGAACTTGGCCGCCACGGCGAGCGCCCCAGGCAGCAGCCCGTTGGCCATCTCCCCCTCCACATCCAGCTCCTGCGGATGTGTGGGGTGGGGGGTAGATGGGTGGGATCCAGAGTCAGGGGGTGCTGGAATGGGGGTACGCGGCGGGCCGAGGTGCCAGCCCCCGCGACAGCAATCGCAACGTGGGCGCAGTCACTGAACCCAGCAGCACCCACGTTGTAGACGGTGCGTGCGAAGAGGAAGGCGAGGAGGAGCAGGAGGAGCCAGAGCGGGTTGCGCAGCACGGCCATGGCCTCGTTGAAGCCCAGCACAGCCATGGCGGCGATGGCCCACAGCGGCGGCCCGCGCGCGCCGGCCAGGCGGTTGGCCTCGCGCGTGGCGGCCGCCTGCTGCACCGCGATGGCCGAGTCGGAGGAGAACTGGCGCCAGATCGCGCGCACCGCCGGCGGGTCCAGCAGCACGTCCTCGGGGTCCACGCCTGGCCACTCTGCCGCGGTCAGCGCGTCCAGCTCGCTCGGGGGGGCACCGGGGGCCGTGGCTGAAGACCCCGGCGCGGTCCTCTGTCCTTCTACAGCCAGGGCCTCCACGGCGCGCGTCACCGCCTCGGCCGCCTCGGCCTGCGCAGCGGCGCGGGGGCTGAGCGCGCCCGCGCGCGGAAGGCGTGCGACCGCCAGCAGGGCCAGCAGCGCCGCGGCGGCGGCGCGCCCCGCCGCGGCAGCACCCGCCACGTCCGACTTGGCCGTCCAGGCCCGCGGCAGGCCGGCCTCGTCACGCGAGAAGCGGTCGTGGAAGCGCTCGCGCAGGCGCGAGAGCGCGGTGTTGGCCGCCTCGCGCGCGGCGGCCAGCAGGCGCGCGCGCGCCGCGGTCTCCACCCCGCCGATCAGGGCCAGGCCCTCCGACGCTCCGACGCCGTAGCCGTCCAGCGCGTTCTCGAGCCGCGCGGCCGCAGCGTCGCGCGCGGCGTCCACGGCGCGCGCGCCGCGGCGCCAGAGGTCGGCCGGCGCCGAGTCGAAGAGCGGGCCGGCCGCGGCGCCCACGGCGGCCGCGGCCGAGCGCTCAGCGGCCGCCAGCGCGGCACGCACCACCTCGCCGCGCGTGGCGGCGGCCTCGGCGCCCAGCGCCGAGCGCAGGCCCTCCCGCGCCCCGGCCTCCAGCCCCGCCCAGGCCTCCGCCGCGGGGCCCACCGCCAGGTCGGGCGCCGTGCTGTCAAACATGGCCAGCGCCTCGGCCTCCAGCCGCGCCACGCGGTCCACCCAGGCCTCGCCCTCGGGCGCCTGCGGGTCCGCCAGCTGCGCAGAGAAGCCTGCCAGTGCCATGCCGCGCAGCGCGTCCAGCTGCGCCACGAAGGCGGGCCGCACCAGGTCCAGCAGGTCGGAGGTCAGGCCCGCGCGCTTGGCGGCGCTGACGTCGGGGTCAAAGTATCGCGCCTCCTCGTCGTACCCTGGTGTGTGTGGGTGGGGGGGGGATGCGGGGTTGCATGAAGACAAGGGGAAAGGTGACCATGGAGGGCAGCAGGGGGCGGAAGAGGGAGAGGTGGTGCCAAACATTGGATGTTGTCCGGGAGAAGACACATGATCAGGTGACAAGCAAAGGTGCCGAGGTGTGCCCACTCTACATTGAATGTGACAGGTGCCGCCCATGCATGACACAGTCTCGAGC